CCTAAAACACATAAAGCACAGAAAAAACGTTTTTTCTTGTCAAAAAGTTGCAAAACAAAAAGTTTTTTTTGTTCAGTCACCCCTCTGATTGGACAAGAGTAAAGAGACAAAATGGCTTCCCCTCACCAAATCGAATCGGGAACTTTTCCTTTTGTCTTTTCCATCCTTTTCTTCTTTTTTTTTTGAAATTTCATTGAGAAAGCTCATGCTCTTTTTTCTATTCTTTCGATTCGGGGATTCCGTCTGTCCGATTTTCATAGAGTCTGGATGTCCAGGGGCCAATTTTCAGAATATTTTATTCAAAGAATGACTAATATGTTATTCTTTCTGAGCCAACTTGGTAGCTCACCAGTGAGTTTAACTATATCACTTTGAAAGTTGAGAAACTGAAATATTGGGAAGTTTCGAAGACACAGCGATCACAAAGAACGGGGCAGAGAATCAAATGGGATGGAGAGAGATCTAACAGGGAAAAGGTTGAACGGGGATGGAATGGTCCTAATGGTCAGAAACAGAAAAGAATCATCGGATTGCTTGAGCACTGGTGGATTGAGTCAATGCTTGATGTCTTTGGATGAGTTGAACATCCAGAATTACACGTTGAGCGGCCACTTTTGCCTGGTAATGGATGAGACGGCCTTTTCCACCGGACACAATGATGCTGAAATGAAGAATTATTAGATAAAACGAATGTAAGTAAGAGAATGGAGGCATGTCCACTTACTGTCCATCTGGATAGGTGCAAACTTGAAGATTATCTGCTTCCAGTGGCACGTCCTCATTCCAAATAGGTTTCAACACTAAAAATCCATCATTCATTATTTTGAGCACTGAAATTTTAAACTCACCATGCTCCCCATCTTCCTCAATCTTCCAGAGTCTTATCTGTTTATCGGCTGAGACTGAAACTAGGCATTTCTTTGTCTGATCTATAGGCAGCAACGCCAGACAGGTAACGTTTCCTTCATGACCTCGCACTGCTTTGTTTTGACGAGGATTCCGTAGGTCGTAGGACTGAAGACGTTCATTTTTGGCATTTAACGTTTCTTGCCTCTCTAAAAACATACCGTTATCTCACACCCGTCATGATTGAATCCATTGGAACACGAGTACAAACGATCGGCTCCATCAAACTCGCAATACATTTGAATGTGTTGTTTACGAGGGAATTCGGTTACCACAGCCAAGCTTCGTGGGTCCCAGAGCCTATAAGCAATTAGGTTGATTTGTAGCTTAAGTAGGGAATGTAGTACCTGACACTCTTGTCCTCTGAAGTTTGTGCAACCAAATTATGGTTGCAGCTGTATGTCATATGAGTAACCAGATTACGGTTGACAGTTTGACTCATCACACATTTCTGATTCTCCAAATCCCACAGTTTGACAGTACAATCTCGAGATCCACTCATGAATTGTTGCTCTGAAACTCAAAACTTAGATATGTTCCTTACAAAAACTTAGAGCTCACCATTGATACTAACAACTCCCGTGACACCGAATTTATGTCCTTCAATAACTGCGTTTGGAAGATCTCCTGGTTCACTGGAGAACATAAAATGAGTCAAATTTCCATCCCGTCCTCCGGCAATCAACGAGTGTTTGGCGATATAATTTCGATAGCAAATCTTATTGATTTCAGATGCATTCGTCCAAGTTTGATAGATTTCTCCGCTGTCTGTGTTTGTGAGCACTGCCTTCTTGTCTTTTCCTCCAGAGAGTATCATTCCAGATCGGATGACCGTCATTGTGTTGATTGTGTCAGTGTGACCAGCACGGGCTTCCATAGGTTTAACGAGCTTACCGTTTGAGCGGGATGTTCGCATTCTGAAAACAGAATTTCATAGATGACCATCCGAAGAGGAAGCGATTAAAAAAAGTGTTTTCGAAAACATATTTTTCTCCAGGATCACTTATTGAAATGCAACAAAAACATTATGTTAATAACAGTTTCAGTATAAAAGACTACTCCTGAAAACACCATCAACAGAAACATGAACTCTCTATTCTTCTGCCTCGTGGTCTGTCTCTTTGCCTTTGTGGTGAGTTTCACTGTTTCAACTTCGAAAAAATAGTAAAAAGTGTTTTACTGACAAAAAATTATGCTTAACTCGAATCTTGTAATACCAGCACACTCATTACTATCAAAAAGTTTTCAACTAAAACATTTTTGACATAGATTAGTAAATTTTTCTCCCATTTATCACATTTTGAAATTTTCAAAGACAACGGAAATACTCTGCTCTGAACATTAGGGCCACTATTACAGGATTTATGGTTTTCAGTTATGCTAGTTTTCAGGCCGCTCAAGGAATCGTTGCTCCTGAACCCAATCCAACTCAAGATGCATTGAACGCTCTTTGTGCAAAATTCAACGCCGCTAGGAAGCTTATCCCAGGAAACCAAGTGGCTGTTTATATCAAGGTTGTTTTGAAAGTCGCTTTATCAAAGTAGAACTATAAATTCAGACTCTCTGTCCCACAATCTACTATTAATCAAATGGAAACAATGGGATGGGATGAGTTCAATGATTCTAAATCGGACAAAAATGTTATTTTTTCTGTAATAAATGGTTCAATATTTCTCATTCTCAGTTATTTTACAGCTTTCTTTTCTTTGAATAGATTTTTCAAAGCTCCTTCCCTATTCACGACTTCATCCTCTCTCCATCAAATTAACATTTTGCCTTCTCTAAAACAAAGCCAATTTAGCCGTCTTCAACCTCATTTCCATATGGAAATCGACACGAAAAAACCATTACATGCCACTCTTTTCTCAATTCAAAAGATCCTCTTCTTCCTTCTTTTTATCATCTCAGAAATCATGAAATGCTTTGTGTCGGCATCGTTAAAGTGGACATTGGGTTCCACATGTCCTTTCGGTGATTTATACTTTTTTTCGAAAAGACAAAGACACTTTTTCATTGTGGGTGGTCTTAGTTTTATTTGAGTTGTCGATAGAGTGGAATGGAGAGGTGGACGTATTATTCATCTGGGAAAAAGGTTAGGTGAAATGGCAGGGTGATATTTTGAAGACGTATTTTTCAATGGCTGTTTTATTTGGGGTCGATTGGTTTTGGCCAAAAACTACCGTTTTTGCTGAACGTTATCGGATTTTTTACAACGGAATTAATTACAAAAACCATCAACTCCAATCAAAAAAGATCTGCTAATTCCAATAAAAAACTGACCGCCTATCAAGTTTTCGGAGTATGATCGGAATTAATTGCATTCATTATCTCTAAAGATCATCATCCATTTCCTTCTTTTTCTCATTGCTACTCTCCCTCTCTCTCTCTCTCTCTTTTCAAATCCTAAGTACATATTTTTCAAACAAAGCTGCTGCTGCCGTTCCGTCCCCTTCCTTCCACATTCAACCCCTTCTCTTCACAAGGACATTTCTCATATCTCACTATCTCTAGACTCTCTTCTAATTTTATAATCTTTCCCTTCACACCTCTAACGCCCAAAAAATGCGTCACCAAATGGGCAGATGAACCCTGAAGATAATGAAGAAGGGGGAGAGACGCAGAGAAAAGGATAGGCGCCCTGGCGAACACACGCGGGAAAACCTTTGTTTGAAAATGATGGTGAGGAAGGAAGGGAGAGTCCCTCCTTCCGTTTATTGTTTATACCTCTCTTTGAGTTTACAAATATTTTGATTATAAAATATATGAAATGTTTGTGACCTTCCTATATCTGTTGCTTCACTATGAATCATAACGTATCCTTGACACTTTTTGTTGACTTTCTTTTGAGTGTACGGAGAAGTTTTTGCGTCTTGTTTTATGTTCTAGTAGCTTCTTCTGATTTTTATTCTCTCCGTTTTTGATGGGGCCCTTCACTCACAGGTTTAGATGATTTGTAAGGTTTGCAAGACGGCAAAAACCACCTGCCACATCTTCCCATTATCTATGACAAGGATTCTCATCCTGCCCTTCTATTAAAGCCCCCCACTCACCTCTCCGCAACAATATCGTGCGGCTCCAAAGTGCTGATTGGCGTGTACGAGCCGGTGATTTTGTTCTGCACATAGTGTAGCAGTTTTCCCACTTTTTCCATTTCTGAAATTCGTTTTTTCGATGATTGGGACTCACAAAAATGAGAATTTCAGATGCAAAATGGAAAATTTCAAAAATAAATTGTTCGTCCAAAACGCTCTTATACACGTCTTGATTAGGTTATACGGCTTCGTTGGAAAAACTAATTATACTCTTGAATTCCCCGTCGTTTTTGGTCTTATGATGAAAAATGACGTCTGAATTATATTTCGAAGAAAGTAAGGAGATTTTCGGAGAAATTAAGCTCTTCTGGAAGCTTTCAAGTTACTAGGAAAGCCTTTGAAAAGGTGCAAGATCAAAAAGATTTCGGTCCAAAAATATACTACCGTACTCCCAAGAAGTTTCAAAATCCAAAAAATCCTGAGATTTTGGAAAAAAAGACGTTTAATCGAAGAAAAGTCACAACTAATCGCAGACTTGCTCCAATTCTTTTCCTTCTTCCTTCCCCTTTTCGCTTCGGTTGTCAGGGTAACATTCCACTCAGAGACTATTGAAGACGTTAGAGACGCAGGCTCCAGATGTCCAGAGGAAAGTTAGAGATTGAGACATAGAAAGAGAGAAACCGAGGGATAAATTGAAATGAGAAAAGAGCACACCAACACAACACCTTCTTCTTTTTTTTGGAGTCGAGAAGATGAAGAGAGGAAGACGTCTCGGGCTCTTCTTCTTCCCTTCCCAGCCTTCAATATCATTCTCATTTTCTCTAATTCTATCAAGCTCACCCGCACTTGTTCAACGAAGAAAATGGGACATGCATACACACACTTTTTTATTCACAAATTAATCGAAAATTCATGTCGGCACAATTGTTTTCTCGAAACTTTTCTCTCTTTTTCTCACCTTATTTGTTTTTGGTCTCCAATCGGGGTTTATGGGTTTTCAATCACGCACACCACTACAAATTAGAAATTGTAGGAAATAGAAAAAAAAATTAAAAAAGGAACTGAAGAGAGTGGGATTCGAACCCACGCCCCCGAAGGGACTGGTGCCTTAAGGCTTACGCTCGGCCATCTCTCCGGTGGGAAATAACTGAAGAAGATGCCTATCTATTTGTGGGAGAGTAGTAGTTGAAAAAGATGAAAAAGGTGACCTAGTGAAGAGGCAGAGGTTATTGGTGGATGGAGCATAGTTGAAACTTCAAAACGGTGAAGATTTTCTAATTTCAAGTCTACAAACCTAATTTCATAGTGTGGTACTTGAGAATAACTGAGTTTGTTGAGTATCGCCTGTACTCCTCCAGTACCGAGAGATTGGGATTCTTGGGAGTACCAAGATTTCGAAACTGAGACGAAACGAAACTTTCAAGTTTTGATACTTATTTCTATTTTATCTGTGACGTCACATTCTAAAAAAGGTCAAATTTACATAGATTGATCTCTGGTTTCATGTCATTAGCATCATCTCAACAAAAAAAAAGAAAAATGAGATAATAAACAAAGCTAATAAGTAGAGAAACTGAGAAATCTCTCAAGTTCACATTGAAAAACGTTTCGATTCAAAGTTAAAACTTTCAAAACTTTCTGAAGTACTGCTAGAGGAGGAGAAGGTTTTTGGAGTGGTTGGTAGAGATTGCCGGTCATATATTTAATGACCTATTTCTGGAGTAGCGGAACTCGCCCCGCCACTCACGGATATTAGAAAATACTGGAGAGGAAATTATTTCTAAGAATTGAGTGATGTATTGTTAACGCCCTCGCGAATATAATCATTTTGTAGTCTCCTATTTTTTGAATCCGATGATTTTTTTTCCGAGGGAAAACAAACATCAGATCTAAAAATATATGGACTGAGCAGATGAAATTAAAAAAGCAATACTGGATTTGCTTGAAATTAATCAATCTATGGGTTGATGGACAGGTGAAGTCATGACTTCGAGGTGGAGCTAAGTCGGCAATTTTCAAGGGTAAGAGAGGGTCTGCATTAGAGAAGTTGGTCATTTCTGAGTCATTTCTGGGCGTAGTTTAGGTTTTTCCGGAATCCAAGGGTGCCCCAACGACAATAAAACGTTGAAAAAACCCAAGGCTAGTCCAGCATATGGTCACAAAAAAGGCCCACTCAAAGCTACCTCTATCAGTGGTCCTGATAACCTTGTCCCGAAATTCTATTATATCTCTCGGTCAGATTTGTTTCAATTTTCGCATTTTGTACCCCTGGGACCTCAATAGTGTACGAAAAGATTACTGTAGGATTACAGTAACTCTATTGGAAAGTGCTCGAGAGAGAACCATCCAGAACATTCCGTAAACATTCGATAATTTTGGAGGGGTTCAAAAATTAACGATTCTACTCTTGACAAGGGAGGTCATTTCAAAAACCGTTTGAGATTTTGCTGAAAATTCGTGGGTCAACACTATCAAGCACGCTGAAAACGAATCTGAAATCCATTTTTCCAAAACTCTTCTGGTTTTGCCACAGTGGGTTCCGAGGACCATTCTCAGTACTAAATTAACAATAGAAAAATAACTGAAACTATGAAAATATTTTTGACGTGAAAATATTACT